ATTTCACCTGGGCTATACGCAAACTGAAAAAAAATAAAAGAAACCTGAAATAATAAAAGCAAACTTAAAAGAATAAAATAAATCTGAAAGAAGAAGAGAAAACCTTATATTATCAAAACCATGCAAATTCATTATATAAATGAACATTTACGACATGCATTTGGTAATAAAATTACGAAAACTGAGAATTAGTCCGATTATTCCCAACCCCTGTAAGCTTCGAATAACAGTAATAAAACATTCATATATCTTTATACATCTTCTCTGGATGTGAATCCGTCTTATTTTAAAGTCGTGGCACGCAATTATTCGCTCTAACAGGGCCATGTTAATGTCTATAAGACAATCAAACGAGGAGTTTCTGAATCAAGATCCAGACAAAATCGCCATTATAGTGATGCGCGTACTACTGCTAATGAAGAAGGAAAGGGGATAGAAAAGCTCTCTAATGATAGAAAAGTTGTAAAACGGACTGTATAGATTCTAATTGTATTTTTTATTGCACAGATATGGCTGCACAAAATGAAGCATTTGCAATTTACAGATACAAGAAGAGAGTAAAACACAACACGAATTAGTTTGATTTACATAGTGACTAACGGATCCATTTCAGAACAAAAAAATCTTATTGAACACACAAGTACTCACAAGTTAAAGTTTCGGATGGACAATATATGTAATTTTATGAAATCAGGTCTTCCAAAAATCTGTCGGAAGTACTATGGGTACCGATTACATGTATTAGCAGACCTTTTTTTGCATTAACATGAAAAAGAATAACATTCATTTGTGTATTTTCAAGTGCATACATGTACATATAAATATAAGAAGAAATGGCTGTGATGTTCATTTTGACATAACATTTATCAATTACGAATTGCTACATCAATTCATATGTCGACCCGATATATGCAGTGAACTTGAAATCAAAGATACCCCAAAGTCTTTCCGTTTCATATTTGAAAATTTTACCAGAAAAGATTTAAAAGTAATCTAACAACAAAACTTTATGATAAACGTGATGATAATTTTTCTATCATCAACCTCCCTTATCTGTGAAACATATATAACCTAGACACCTACATATTGTGTATTTGTCTCCTCGCTAATTCCATTCATAGGGACATTCATTACGTACTAACTATGTCTAAAAAACGAGCCATGGTATTGAAACAAGTGGATGAAACAGCAATATCCCAAGTTGTTATATTCCAAGTTCTATGGTTGATATAAAGACCTTATTAATAATTTATCATTAAGTTGATCACTAACTGACGTTTTTCATGAATTTCATTCAAATTGTTAGATTTTTTTTAACACATTTAACTTCCTACGGAGTTTTCCATTTGCTTCATCATGACAACGAGCACGAAGCGGGTGTAACCGGCCGACAGGGGATGCTTACTCCTTCATGGTACCTTATCCCATCTTTGATGTTTAAGGGGTCCATGTTTGTTCTGATTCTTATTTGCATTGTCTGAGTGATATTTTGAGCTTAGAAGGTGGTTTTTATCGCCATATTTCACATAAAGTAGTTATCATTCGTTGTGATGAGAGGGATATGGAGATAACAAACAGTATTCAATCTCAAAGTCCATAAGACAATACAAAATACAAGTACGAGCAGAGCAAGCTCGGACCTCCGAGAGATCAGAGGTGGGATCAGGTGCCATGGAGGAGTCGCCGTGTGCTCCTTGTCATGATAAGGAAATAATGTTAGGAAATGTTAGGAAAGACTTGATAATTACAGAAAAGATGTCAAGTTACCAATTCTTTCCGGGCATGTATAATGAACAATAATGAGTTCTCCTGTTCCATATATTTTCATTATAATTTTAAAACAATAAAAGTCAGAAGTTTTCATCTTCCCCCTACCTTTTTTTTGCAAGACTCTAATCTTCTGACACATGCCTTATCAAGCGACAACGCTTAAGTCAATCAATGATGCGTTATATTAATGAATACAAGGAACTAGTGGACAAAATTCGACACAAATTTGCTGTAAACGAGATGTCGTGAAATGTAAATTGGATCCTGGCTGGACCTAGGCCTCTAAGATTCTAGAGATTTACATCTCTAATGGACAAACGTGAGGACAATAACGAGCTAGCCTTTTATTTCTGATGGATACGGAATTTCAAAACACAATTCTCATTAAGAAAATAATTTACAGATAATGAATTGCTAATGGCAAAAGCAAAAAAAATTTCATAAAGACAAAAAAATTCTGTTGAAATAATTGATAGTCTTCTGTTTTTCTGCATCAAAAGATTTTAAGGATAATGAAATATGTTTTTACTTTTTAGCTTTTTCTTATAAGTTCTTATTAAGAAAATGGAAGTGAAATGCCTAGGCAAACATGATAAAGGTTGCCTCTTCGAAAGATTTATATGGATAATTTGTTTTATTTTTAGCTTTCCCTACGTTTTCTTAATGAGTAAATGGAACTGAAAAAGCAAGGCAAGCAAAACAAAAGTCGCCAGCGGAGAAAATACGACATTGATTAAGGTGAGAGTGGCTAAATTTGAAATAAACGCATGGACATTTTACCAACCATGATGATAACATAAAAAAAAAAACCAAAATGCAGACTCAAAAAATGAAACGCTGTTACAAGTTTTGAATTTTATTGATATGTACTGAAATGAGAAGCAGATGGAATAAAAAGTGTTGAAAGATTGTTTTCTTTACAACTGAATACTTTCAAACTATTCGACCAAACCTACATCATAAATTTTAAAAGACAAATTTAAATTATAATATTCTATCTCAGTCAGCTCTTTCACGGAGGGTGTGATAGGTCGGCAGGGGAAGCTTTTATTCCTCCTTGGCACGTGGTTTATTGTTTTGAGATTAATTAATTTCTATCTCCGATTATTTCGTTTTGCTTCTAAGCAATTCTTTATAATGTGCATAAATATTTAAACATTCAGGAATAATTTAATTTTAGTTATAACATGTCATTTGATTGGTTAAACGGTTTTATCCATTTTGTATAACATAACTTGCCTACGTCACAATTAGTTACGTCGAAAACGTATTACTCCGCTTGACGTTAACTTTTCAAATATGCGATATTTGAAGCGTTTTTCCGAAGGAAAAAATGGAAAAATTGCCTCATTGTCTACGTTGAAATTAAATTATAAGGAATGAAGCTTATTTCAACTTATGTTATACGATATAACATAACTTGGGGCATGCAGTTTACGCTTTTTTATAAACCGCTTCGCGGTTGAAATATACTTCATTCCTTAATGATGAGAATTATACCAAAAAAAGGGAGAATAAGTTTGAAACCAACTCTTAAACCATAAAATGAAACTCATGTAGATGAAGATTACGGTCAGTCTTCGAATAGAAATCTGAGAACAGAAATATAAAAAAGAGACCTCCAAAGAAATTTTAGAGAAAGGATCAGATGCCCTATTGGGATAAGCGTTCCCTGTCGATCGACCACACATGTTACGAGTCCTACATGTATGTATTAACCCTTTACAACTTACTGAACTGTTATGAAACATACACTTAATATTCACGTCATAGAAATATGACGTTACCTTTTCCCCGCAAGCACTTTAAAGCGCGGTTCAAGTTTCTCTAAAGTTTAGCGTAAATAATATTATGACCTAATATTTTAATAAGAAAATAACTTTTCTTATTTTATGAGATTTTAGCAAGTATAAAAAGAAGGAAATTGGCATTAAATTTAAGTTTAAATGTACTTTTTAAAGTGCATGAAAAATGCGTGATTGCAGGAAAACGGTAAATGCGTGATTTTGCGTAAAAAATAGGAAATGGTATATGTGTTATAATGCGTGACTGCAGGGATGGGGGTTAATCAGTTAGCTAAAAAAATTTCGCAGTAAACAGAGGTCTGACAACTGATATGAAAAGCAATCTAATTAAAATTAGATCTTTGATCCGCTCCATTTTGAACGGTAAACAAAGTAGCGATCAAAATGGAGCGGGTCAAAGATCTAATTTTAATTAGATTGGAAATGGATGCTTTATCTCTTTGACCAGATATCTCTCACCCAATGCTCACTAGCAATACCTCAGCTCTTGTATGAACTTTGTACGGAGAGACGTATGAAAAAAAGGAAGTTGACATTTGATTTAGGGAATTGGCGATAGACAAAATAAAGTCATCACGTTTATTATTAAAGTTTGGTTCTTGTATTCATACTGTAGTTTTAATATTGTATCGGTCAGTGTGCATCTCATTAGACCAGATACGTGCAACATAAATTACACTCTTCTCCAAAATAAATTAGTTTTGTGAAATAAATGTTAGATGGTTCTCTTTCGGAACTGTATATTACTAAGTTTTCCATTTAAAAAAAATAAATTCAGTCCGACATTGAAATATTTGTGCATTATCCTTGGTAATTTTGGCACGAAGCAATAAAATTCCAATAAATGTCATTTAATTTTTGTTTATGGATAGAGCCTGGTAGAGCAGCTTTCAGGCAGAAATATTACCTGCTATCAAAAAATTAAGAGGAAATATTTTTGATACAGTTTCCTTTATTGTTACCATTAAGAGCCAATAATCTATAAATCAAACTATCCTTTCTTAGTTATTTCAAAAAGGCATTGTTTGAGAATTTCAGTTTAATAAGGAATAAGATTATTTTAATCAAATCGTGCAGGAATTCATTGGGTTTGGATTGTTTTAGCAGTCTTTAGAATTTGCTTCTTCTTATATCTTCTTATATATATTCTTATTAAAAGAAATTAAAAAAATGACAAAGTACCAGAAAGATCTCTCATTATTAAGTTCTATTTTGTCATCTTCATATTACTCTCACAATCCTTTAATCAAATACGCCACCATTGTGGAAAATATCAATCACTTTCGATATTCTTTGCATCACTGTTTTAAAATTACTAGTTAATTATTATACTAAATCAAAGAATTTTATTTTCATTCATAATCATTTTATAAGAATTTTAGAATTGTCATGATCATTTCTATTAATTAATTAATCAATACTAACCATGTTCACTGGCATGATCAAGATAGGAGGGACACTTAACATAGGCAGTACTACCGGCTGCCGTGTCGTCAAAACATCCATACCCGTCCCATGTCCGAGGACAATGTGACCAATTTTTCGGCAGGGGAGGTTGATTTAGTTGTCGTTGACAACATTGCGTCGCTGCCTGACAACAGGTTGTCCACTTTTCACACTCTTGTTTACTCAGAGGTTCACATATTTGTTTAACCATAGAACTATTATCCAGATCGGCACGGTAGATGGATCCCGGAGGGTACGAATATTTATAATGGGCCGCTGCTGGACCAGCTTTAAACACAGGGCCCGAGGCCGTGAACGTTAGGTTAAGCTGTGTATCCGATTTGAACATGTACACGTAGCAAAACGAACACGTTAACACTTTGAAGATAGGGACATCTTGGCTCATCTGTTGATAGCGGCAAAGCATACTGGCTGAGAAGATTATTCTTTTTTTGAAATATCAGATGGTCGTCACGACGTGTGACAAAATTCAAACACTCATCAAGTCAAGATCTTTAACGTGTTCGATATAATGACATATTCAGGAATACATTTATCTTCAGCAGGAGGGCAACACATCGAGGGAGAAAAAACAGATATGGTGGAATAGGCTTCCTTTCTTTGACTGTCGTTGTTAGGAATTAAGGATGTAAATCAGTGTAAAGAATCTGCCAGCATGCCAATAGGACGCAAAAATATAAAAATTTCGCGTGCTCACCGCTCTCTGTCAATACTCTTTTTTGTGTTAAAGTGTTTGTTGTCTGAACACTAAATATTCTCTCTCTTATCGGCACAGGAATGCAAATGTCTTCTAAAAGTGAAAATGGCACTTTGCAGTGATTACAAAAAATATGTCAAAACTTGTAGTCTAATCCAATAAGTATGTTCAAATTCAGATCGACAAGAAAAGCAACTTATTCAATACGCATGCGCTTATATTCAAACATGAAACTTTGTTTAACCAACAATCACTTTTTAAATGCACTTCAGTAGAACAGAGCCACCATGAAACGTGCCAATAATTTGGGGGATGTCTCTTAGTCAATTCAAACAATGCTGAGAATCCAAAAATAATGTGTTGCTACTGCTGTCGTTAAACGCTTACATTTATAATTATAAGAAAAAGAATGCTACATACCTCCGATAGCATCTGCTTAAAGATTAAAAATGTCGAAACTGTTTTCGGAAACCTGTTTTACATCTTATTTTCTTTCTGTCTCTGCTCGTTTCTGATTCATCCATCATATCAAAGTTAAGATTGAAAAACTGAAAGAAACAGAAATCAACATCCTGTAAATTCAATATTAATAAATTATGGAATTGTATGTGTTGTTCACTTTTAAGATTTGAATATCTAAATTATCTTTTTTATTTTAAATTTATATTTATTGATTTATGTATTATTTATATATATATTTTTTTTTTGTTCTTTTAAACCGTTTGAAGCTTTTGACTTCTAGCTCATCAAGAGTTGCTTTGCAAATGCAATATCCTGATAAATGAGACTATAGCAATATCTGTTGACCCTGTACTGGTTTACTCTTACTGGGAAAATGAGGTTTTGAGATGACTGCTACTAAAGCAGGTGCCTTCTTAACAGATTCAAACAATCATACAAAAGATTAATGAACAAAGTACAGAATGTTTCATCATGCTTGAACAGCCAAAGGCGAATTCTGGAGTAATCACATATACAGAAAAGGGGTCAACACAATAAAATATATCTTTATGATACATATATTCACCATTTACTGCAACTATATTCTTGAAAATCATTTAAGCACATTTAGAAGATGTTTGCATCGTTTATGTAATCAACAAAAACGTATTTGTAATTGTAGGAAAATATCAATATTTCATATTTTGCCCTAAACATGACTTTCAAAAGAAAAGGAAGTCCTGGCACAATTTTAATTCTATTTGAAAGTTTCTCTACCTGCAATTTGTGCATTGTATTGCTATTGCGGGGATAAAGCAATGTTTACAAAATGTTTTCCAGTGATATTTAACTTGACTAGAATAAAAACTTGTAATTTTTTCTTTATCGCTAAGAAAAAGAAAAAAAAACCCTGTGTTTTATCCCTCAAATCTACCTCTTAAATATGACGAGGAAATTAACTTTTACTTAATGCCAACATATATCAAAAGAGGACAAGACTACTAAGAGACTGAGAATATATCCCCATGATAAAGAAAATTAAATTTTGATATGCTGTGAGTTTTTCATTTATCCCCACTCCACAGTCTGTTTCTTATGTTTGAATTTTTTTTTTTACAGATTTACACTATTAAATAATTGAATTACATTTCACTGAACCATTTCCACTCGCTATTAATATAGCCGTCCTTTTTTGACTTTTGCGAGAAGCACTGAAGTTGATGGCTTACTTCGACACTTAAACCTGTATCAAGTACGGAGGTACAGAATTGATTTAGATAAGAAAACCTTTCTAGTGGTCATAGGTATGATGTTAGGGACACTTATATATGAAGACAGGGAGTTGAGAATAGGGTTGTTGACGTTTCCTTCAAGAACAACTTATTTGTGCTGTGAAATAATACATTATTTTCGTTGAATTAAATGATAAGCGAAATATTTATATAGTAAAAGAGCTTGGTACATTGTCCCAAACTAAAAGTAAACGTTCCTCGCAAAAGTCAATTTATATTACCAGTTGCCGAAAAACGACTGGTCATCTAGAACCAAGCTCTATGATAAACGTGAAGACTCAACTTTTTTATCGTCAACTTCCCTAACTTATGTAGCAATATAACTTTATCACCTGCATACAGAATTTTTATATCTCAGTTTATTCGATACGCAAGAACATGCTCTATGTATAAACAATTTCTAAAACGATGTAAATTGTTGACAAACAAGTTGATGAAACAAGAATATCAACAGTCTAGTTTAAAGACATCATTTCGTAAGTTTTATGGTCGATACAATCACGTCAGTAAATACAATTTATCATTATCATCGTTTTGATACTATCTGTTAGTCTATTATTTACACACTGAATTGACGACGGATTTTTAAGTTATTTCCCGATCATGACAAGGAGCACAAGGCGAGTGAGACTGGTCAGCAGAGGATGCTCATTCCTTCATGGCACCTGATCCCATCTCCGTGTTTGCTCTGCTCCTACTTTAAATTGTTTTATGGACTTTTGATCTGGAATATACTGTTCGTTATCTCAATACTTTTCATTAAAGGATATTGATATCTTCTTCTAGAATGTGTTTAACCAACAATATAATATAAAGAATGAAGATAAAGAATATATCTATTTTCTAAATTGGATGGACAAATTTACCATTGTTATTTCAAATATAGATGTCTGTAAATGGCTTTTAAAATCTCGATCTATTGTCAATAAAAACTGAAACACAAGTATTCGTTATGAAGATTTATACAAATATAGGGAAAGGGCATAAACACTGACCCCTTGAAAATCTAGAGGTGGGAAAAGGTACTCATCGTGGGTGCTATGTATGCATTCCAAATCAAATTCAGTATAAAAACAGAAGACTTGCAATTGGTATGAAACAAGTAAGCCAACAGTTGACCCAATGAGAGTTTATATTTGCATTGTAACGACCATAGATTTTTACAAGATGAAATCTTTAAACGAGGTTGCCGAGGTCCCTGTAACATCATTTTTTCAGTGAGTAGCATGTCTTCCTTTAAAATCAATAATGCTCAGAACAAGCCCCTCAGTGGCAACAAAGTTTGGAAACACAGACACCATAAGTAGAGGAAAAGGGAATATTGCTACTTAAATAGAGAAAGTAGACGATAGAAAAGCTAAAGTCATCACGTGCGTCACACAATTTAAATGTTAGAACTTTGTATACCCTATCTTCCGAAGTAAGTAAAACACCCAAATATGAAATGAATGGGTCAGACTTCGTGGTGGGTTTAATTTCAACTTCACTTGGATATATCGATTCCTCATATGATAATTATAGATATATTTGAATGTCGAATTTAAGGCAACAGCAACTGTTTTCCTCCTCCCTTGTAGAAAAATGTGAAAAATTCTTTATCAGTATTTTAAAATCATCTTTCAAAAATTACGTCACTGGAATAATTGTTTTCTGTATCACAAGTTTACTTTAAAATACTGTTGCTGATATGCGAAAGATTCAAACAATAACACTACCTTAATATATGTGTATAAGGTCACGCAAAGTGGAAAATTAATACAGGTCTAGAATTAAATCTACATATGTTTTTGTTTTTGGACAGTTTTGCTGAAACTGAATATCTAGTAGGGAAGGAGAAATTCATATTCGCCCATCTAATGACGCAAACAAGACGAATGACGTCAGATGCATTCATCTAATCTTGTTAATTTGACCTTGAACTTTCCTTGAAAATCAGACATTTTATTTGACTGCATTATCTGATTTTCTCCGCTGAATCTTTCAAATATCAACAGATTCGATCTTTTACCTCTCCCGACATTGAAATCAATCTTCCTAAAAACTTTTGATTATAAATAACAATTATATGATTATCAAAGTTTTAAAGGATTACATACGATAGATTTTCGGTGAATTCATCGAGGCAGTGTTATATATATCAACAAAAATCACTGCTAATGCTTAATGATCGTTTCATAATACTAGATTAAAGAAAATATGAGGGAAATGATACTTCTTAGCAGAGAGGATAATTGAAAATGGACGCCGCAATTCGAGTATCATTAGAAGTAATGCAACAAAGAAGACGGTAGTTATGTTTTTGGCTTCATTGACATAAATACAGCAGGAATATAATTGGACGATTTTACAAAGAGCGTTTGTATAGTTATTGAGCATGCTTTGAAGACCTTGGATATTATAGAATCCTTATGAAGTGGACTTTTTTTTATATCGTTATCGGACAAAATATATTAAAACATTCTATTTGAAATTGATTTTCTAGACAATACAAAAACAAACAGCACCGGCTGATGGAGCTTTGTTATTGCAATGCACAGATGGTTGATGAGATTTCTTTCAAACTATGAAAAAAGAATAGATCTATTGAAGGATAGTTTTTCTTTTTCACTTATAAGATTGTTAAAAGAGAAAACAGGAGAAAAAATGATATTTAAAATAAGTTACATTGAAAAAAAAGAGATTGAGAAAAAATAATATTTTATGTACATGTGCTACAAACAAATTTAAGCAGCTTTGTTCCAATTAACTAAGAATTTATAGTCATTGCGGTAACACAAGATTCAACGTTTAGACAAGAGAATTAGTTACTCCGTGATAAATCAAAAATACAACATTTTCCTCTTCAATTTAATTTAATAATGCATGTTATTGCTTGAAAGTTTTGTCTGCATCCGTTTCTGAGACATTTGGCATTTGGAGAATGTTGCGAGAGTGTAAAAGTGCTTTTAATTATTTTCATATGTGTTCTTTTACTTATTTTTTGACAATCCCATAAAAATATCGAAAATAACTACACGTGTCTAGAGTCAAGTGGCATTTCGCTAACAAAAATATAAACATTCTTTTAATTAAGATTTAATTGCAATCCGATGAGTTCACAAATGTTGCACATGAGAATTCAACATGCCATCTGTTGACATCAGTTCATAAGTTATATTACTGGAATTTAATACAAGGATCTTTGGAATGTTTAACTTATAGTTGCAGCTCGTGACTTAGAGACAATACGTTGTTTTATTGATATTTTTACCAGATTTTTTTCTACTGCTTTTATTCAAAGTAAACCTTCAGCTTTTAAAATTGTATCGAAGACACTGATCAACGACAATTTGGTTTGATTTGATTTTAATTTAAAATCTTAAGTAAGAAAAAAAAACGTTTATAGTACTCTGGCGTTCACGGTTGAAATATATAAGAAATTCAATGTAAAATACTCAGTACTTACAACTTTTTAACCTTAAGATAAATATAAATGACCAAGAATAGAAAACAAAAACAAATTCACTGAAATAATTAAATCAGTCTAAACTATATATATATATGTATTTATCTAATCTGTCATGCAAATTTTGCGACAAAATTTAACTAAGATTTTTAAAGAAATAAAGATTCTGTGTTTGTAGACAAATGAATTATATTTTCTCCCTGTTTTTATCTCTGATTCATTTCCTATTCATCTATATAAGACCACATTATATCGACTAAAAGCTACTTTATTTATACTTCTTCAGTTCTAGTATATGTATGCATTGCAAGTATATGCAATCCGTTTACATTTCAAATATAAAGAAATCTTTGGAAATTAATGTTTTAAG